TTTCGTTTAATAAATTTAAGAAGTTAGATATCTCAAATTATCTTATAGTTTTATATTGTAATTGTTAAAAAATGACATCTAAAATAAGCTTAAAATAATGATGATTCAATAAACAAAAATGTCGTAAACACAAAATTCAACGTAACCACAGAGTTAACAAGGAAAACAGATAAAGTTTTAAAGTTCAAACACACAATTTTTTTCCTCAATTATTATATTAAATTAGCAACATCATGCACATATATTAAACGTAGGCATTTGTTAATTATTATAACAATATTTTAATATATATCATGTTTATTATAACATAAAACATGCCAAACGTATTGCAATTAAGACAATTACGTACAAAACGTTATGTACAAAACAAAAACAAAACAACATATCGAAAAAAATCACTGCATAAAAAATAAATTTATTCACTAATACTACTGCATTTAGCAAACAGTAAGTAAACACACAAGTTAGTTAATTCAGAATGAAGTATGTTTGACATACATCGATTTCAATTAAAGCCTAATGTCGAAGACCTAATCAAGCGATCGCCAACTCTACGTCATTGCAAACAGAAATCAAACCAAGCCTTTCCAAGCCTACTAGTGCAATAAATGACGAACACAAAACTGCTTATCAAGATTTGTCCTTTAAAAAAGACTCTGTAGTTCTATTACAAATATTTAAAGGCACTTTCATGATCGTCATCTATTACAAAAGTGTGAACCATAGACAAATCATTCCTGGTATATGAATAGCAACACACGTTCGATTTTATTTTTGTTTACCTGTGATGTTAGTCTTCCCGAGAAGACCTGAAGTGTGAAAAAGTTTCATCGTTAATTATCAGGATTTTTTTTTTATTTCTCAATAACGTATTAAAGTCCAACCTGAAATAGGAAAGTTTGCGGACAAAAAGGATCAACATGGTTTTTCCCCTCTCACGGCTTAAGTTACATTTTGGGGTTGCTCCATTCCAATTAGAGATTTGGACGGGTCTGGCAATTAGAGTGGAATTTATGGAGCTTAATTGTCTTCGTGGAGGGCGTATTTTAGAGAAGGGATAATTGTGGAAAAAACGTCAATCTATCCGCCGGATTGATACTCATGTATGGAAATTTCTGAGCCTTGGTATGATTATTTATTTTGAATCCGCTCCAGAAATATTATCATCGTTTTCATTCCGTGGTCAATATTTTTTTTTATTGTAAAATATGTTTGAAAGAAAATAATTGCTTGTTTATTCAAAATGTATTACTTGTTTAAAAGCCTAATTACCACGAGGGCCTTATTAACAAAACCCATTATCGTGCCTTAGAAAATTAAAAATAATCACAAAAAAAATTTGCTATGTTAGAGTGAGAACAATTCGGAATTTTTCACTTTTAATATTTTATAACCAACAAATCTAATTTATTGTTACTGGCAACATTAAATATAAAGGCACACTTACACAACTGCGGCGGCGCGGGCTGTGGCGCGGCGGCGGGCGCAATTGGCGCCGCCTGCGTCACCACCGGCTGCGTCATGGCAGCCAGCGCGGCTAGGTTCTGCACCGACACGGGCGCCAGAAGACCTCCTAGCTGCTCGCCCACACCGCCCACGCCGCCTACACCGCCCACTGTGCCCCCGCTCAGCCCTGCGCCATTGAAACCGATATCCTGATAGTTAACACCTACGAGGAACAGGATGGTAGCGTCAGCAAACAAAACAAAACAAGCGTCAACAAAAAAGTTTCAAATAATAAGTCACAAGTTGCCTAAAGGTGAATAAAAAGCAAATGCAAAGCAGAAATCTAATTCTACATCAATTTAATACTGGCCTAAAAACTATAATTTCAATAATTAACTTTGACAAGCACTACTAAAAAAGGAGGACCAGGATGTGTGTCAGATTATTTGCAATAAGACCAGGTCAGGCTAAATAAGCGTTTAAACAATAAAATACTATCAGACCTGAACTACTACTACTTACTCGGAAAACCAAACAATGTCTATAATATTAGAATTTGGAATAGATTCAGTTGTACAATTGCTACAATTTACGTATTGCACTGCGGCCCTAGTTGTCATTAAGGTTAATTATCCAGTAAGGGCAAATCGTTTAATTAGTCCCGCAGTGGCATGGCCTTACTAATAATAGAACTCTTTTTATCATAAACTGTGTTAATTCATAAATATTGTCAACAAAGATTTAGTACGATATGATGATCTTTAAAAATACCCAAAAAAACAAGCATTTTACCCTCTTCACAAAAATTTACATAACTGGGATCTACGGTAAACTTCCATTGTGATTTGTCTGCTTTTACTAAGCTGAAATTTTTTTATTGAGAAAACGCCCAGTTAGTAGCAGTTTTATTAACCTTGTAGCAGCGTGGAGCCCTGACCCTGCAACAACTGTTGCTGCAAACCAACTGCCTGCAGTTGCTGCAGCAGCTGCAGTTGTGTGGCGGGTGACAGCGCCGCTTCAGACGCGAGGTACGCCGCGGGGCTGACCGGCGTCGTTAGACTCCACAGGCTCGCCTGCATTGCGTGTAATTTCTTTTGTTCTTTCTCCTTCTGCGTATCCGCAAACTTGACGACCAGCGGCGCTGAACAACCCTCCATCGTCTGACTGTGGTGCAGAGCCTGGAAACATTATTGTCAAAATATTAAGAAAAGGGACTAAATGAGCAGATGGTCAGTAAAGATTCGATGTCTATGGACATCCGTGCTACAGGAGTAACGAACAAAGCTAAATGCCTTTTAGTGGGGAGAGGAGAATAATGCAAAACAACGTAAAATATAATTTATGTTTAAGTATATATAATTTCTAGTAAACAGACAATTTTTATAATTCAATAGTTAATAGTCGAAGGTCACAATGAAGAATTATTACGAGTTGTTATTAATTTTATAACACAGTATTAATTGTGTAGTTATTCGAATCAATAAGCGGCCGATGTAGCAAAATTTTGCTGGATAGTGCAAAAATGTATATAATTAATTTAATACCGCGGAATTTAATAAATCTTAATTCGCATTCACCACGTGCCGGGGAATTAATTATCGAATGAAAATATATGATATTCCATTAATTAGCACGACGAACTTATAGGGTTTTATCGATGAGTTCATTTTATTTATTCATAGGAATAAACTACAAAATCGAAATAAAAAAATAACCTTATCTTTTTATTTACGACCTCTATTATATTTTTCAAGCAAACGCGAATCAATTAAAATGTACTTTACGTAAATCGTTTCTTATTCAAAATTGTATCGTTTTTACGTTAAGAATATATTATTAGCTTAACTTTGTGCTGTAGAGATTATAACTTAGACGCACTTAGGTTTAAGGTTAGAAAAGATTTTTTATTGTGTACACTCTTCAAGAAATAATAAACGAATTCTTGAGCTTGAGCTACGTATATTAATTTAGACTACTTTAAATGTGAGATTTCAATCTGTACGTGAGAGATTTCAATGTCTTTTGCGGAACAATTATCTCTCAGTCGTGGGGCGACAGCGACAGCCGACACAAGAATAGATCGAGCCACGTTGTTTGTGGAAACTAAACACATAAAAGTATTTATTGAATTTAGTCAACATCGAAGAGATTCTTTATTTAAACTTACTGTTTATCTAAAATTTAAAACGTTTATTCCACTGTTACTCACTTTTGCGTAACCAATGATTGTCCGTGATTGTTTTTAGATTTCTAAAATATGCAAATTTTGCATCACAATTAAATGTAATTTGTTTTTAAAACAATTATAACTGTCCCGAAAAAAGTGCTATGGTAATAATTTTCAATTTGTCTACTTTGCGAAATTGAATTCGAACACACTAACGTATCAAATATGTAAAGACAAAAATGTTGACGACTGTGCACAGTATATAATGTTATTTTTATTTTATGCTTTTTTCTTACCTTATATCGTTACCCTCTCAAGCCATATAAACTATGAAATAGCATTTAGGTGTTAGTTTAGAGAACAAGAGTGTCAAAGTGCACAGCCACGCTCAGATTAAGTCTAAAGTACTCACAAGTTTACTTCTCATAAAAACTCGAAAAATTGAGTATATTAGAGTAGTAGAGTACTCGTTCGTTAATGATGGGGATGACGTCATACCTTGATAGCTGCGATGGCAGCCTGCTTGGAGACGAAGGTGACGAATGCGCAGCCCTTGCTCTGGCCTTGTGCGTCGCGCAGCACTGTGCACTCCTCGATCGCGCCGTGCCCCGCGAACAGCGCCCTCACGTCATTTTCGGATAACTTCTTATTTAACATGCCTACGAAGAGTTTGCGTTCTGCGGACAAAGAGATGGCGTTATTACAAAGTTTGTCAATAATTTTGATAATATTTTTGATTGTATTAATCGAATCCATTGAGGTTAAATCATCTTCCACGTCGACTAACTACTCTGCGTTTTTCTTTATTATTATTAAATGGTTAGCTGTAATCACTATACATAATTATGTACTTGTTTTATTCGAATTTGAAATTTATAAGACATTGTAATTTATATCCATATTCAATCCTAACATTTGCAATACACAAATCGAAGGTAGACGGCTGCAGTGGGGACCATCTCCCCCTTAAGGCTGACGCGTTCGTTGTACTTAACACGTCTTAGCGTGTGATCCTGAGAAATGGAGACATTGCGACAGGGATCAGACGCGCTAAGTGTGAATTTACGACCTCTCTCATTGTATTGCGGATCATATGTACTACGAAATATTGACAATTTGTACCGCATTTATTATACAAATTTAAGGGTTTACGTACCTTACGTTTTTAAGTCAGTTTTAAATGACGTAATTATGGAATAAATAGCTAAAATTCAGCTTCAAGGCATAAAGAGTCAAAGTTCCATTGAGATTTAATAGTTTTAATAAAACTTAACAAAGTTCAAGCCTTCCGAATCCGCAACAATACCAGGTCGTAATAAATTCGTAAGTATCCGACATAAAACAGTTTAATTCCGATTAACGTAATGACTAAACATTCACAAATGAATACAAACTGCCATTGAGACGGTCGCTCGAGCAATAAAGACCACGGCAACTACTAATTACAATATTTAAAGTGTGTCCTCACTTAAACACGGAGCGTAATCAGTTTAAATGCACAAGTAATTGTGTGCTTAGCGCAAACAGCGCTTTAAAATGTTAATACCTCGACTGCGCCATTGGGCCGGTAAAGGTATCCTTCGTTAAACAATTTACATAACCTTCCGAATGAGCAATAGTGGGGGGAAAGGGGTGCACCCCCTCAGCGTCTCTTTGTAACGGGAAGGGTGAACTGTTTCAGGGTAGAAGAAGCGACAATTTATTTATAATTATATCCTGTCATCGTGACGTTTTGCGCGCATTCGCAAACGTCACCGGCTCGTTGACAGATGATGAATGACATTTGGTTGTGTCGAGTGGATGAAATGTCAAGTAGACGGCGCGATGTAATTGAAGAGAGAAATATTATGTTTGGTTTTAGCTGGCATATTACAAGAGTTTAATATTTATTTTGTGATAAAAAAGTCATTATTTAACTTTGAATAATTATTAATAAAGCCTTTGACAGTTTAGTTTTCTAAATTACGACAGTTTTAAGAAAGAAAACATTGAGCACGACTTGACATTACGAAAGCTGGACTGTTATTGAATAGGTCTGATATACGGCGTCGTTTAGGCGCGTTTGAAGTGCGTTTTCTTGTACGTAAAAGGCGACAGATCGTAACAGCCAAGTTATGTGTCGAATGTCGTATAGTCTGAGGTACTGTGGCCAGCTTTCATAATAAACATGACTTTCAGTGGTTTTAGCTATCCATTTGTACAAATATCTCTTGACATAAAATTTATCTAGAATTAAACTAAATAATATACGTGATTATAAGAAGCGTCGGTGGCACAAGGGTCAAGCACTTGACTTGCAATCAGCAGATCCTGGGTTCGAATCCCGCCATGTACCAATGTGTTTTTCGATTTCCGATTTACATATGTACATATATCCGACGTTCTCACCGTGTAGGAAACATCGTGATGTTACCTGCACATATCTGAGAAGAAATTCTCAAATATATGTGAAGTCAACCAACCCGCACTTGGCCAGTGTGGTTGACTATGGCCTAGTCCCCTAAGTTAGGGGTAGGCTCCGAGCCCCTCGGTGGGGACGTATAGTGAGCTGATGATGATGAATATAAGTCATAATGTAGTACAAATACATTTTGTTATGTTTCTTTACGATTATTAAGACAATATAGAAGTAAAGAAATATATAGTTAAAGCGTACTTTATTCATCAAACTTTGCTGCCCAAATAAAATTTCTATCTTCTACTCCAAACGTGGATTTTAAAATGAATTTAATTATGAAAACCAGCTCAATATTGAAAATTATTAAAGGTAAACAAGCAAGCGGTTTATCAAACAAAAGCAAAGGAATAATAGATTTAGAAGATGCAATTAAAACTAGTAAATTAAATTAGAACGTCTAAGAGACAATAATAAATTAAAGTTAGGATCTTTAAAGAGTTGAGACAAACAAAGTCACATTGTCCTGAGGACTGGGGACTGAGTACAACGATCTTCGGAGGGCGGTGAGCCTGACCCCGGCTTGCCAGACTGTCCCAGAGGCGCGTAGGCGGTTTGAAATGTGACCTTAAATATTCGTGCTTCGAACGTACCAAAGTTGGGCTATTTTCATTTAGAAAGCAATTCGATGTGCGATTCTAAAAACATTTTATGCTTTGCAAATGTATTGTTCTTGGTGGTGAATATTTTTCTTTTTTTGCTATATTGAATTAGAGTTTTGTATTTCGCCAGTATGTAGGTCTATTCACCAGTGACATTTAGCTTCAACGGGTTGATAATTTTTTTATAGAGTTAGATGTTATGCGAATTTAATAATACTGTTTTTCAACTTTTTTATTTAAAAACCATTACTTTGGTTTTAAAATTAAATACAGCAGTCATAACCTAATGTGATAGATAATTATTTTTTTCCTGGAAAATTAAATAGTACACAGAAAATTTACATATTTAAACGATTGTAAATCTTTATAAATACGGCAAACAGTATTTAATGTAACATCTCAAACGACTTGACAACTACTTAACAAGTTTGCGATCAGTTTGAGTTCCGAAGTACAGTCGCGCCCTTGCAATCTAATGTGGCCAACTCAAACAACGACATTACGACGCTAGTCAATATGGAAGTTGAGTACAGATCAGTAATCAAGTGTTATGTTACAGAGTTTGTGTGTTTGATTTTCTTTACGATACTATTGTAATCGAATGTAATTTAATAGTCAGCCTACTATTTCTATATTTACATGAAAATAATTAAAAATATAAAAAATTAAAAATAAAACACAAATCGTGTGACTGCTAACATTTGCAAAGGTTTTCGACTTTATTTTTTTAAACTTTTTAATTTAGTATTAATTAAGGACACGTGTTACTAACGCCATCTATCCGTTCCATGCAAAGTAATGGTCCAGGAAATGTGAACAAAGTTCTGGAACATAACTCGGCGTCGTTTATTACAAGAACTTGAGCGGCGGAAACAAAAGAAGTTAGTCAAAGTTGTCACTCCTGGCAGCGGGATTGCACAACGCTGCTTCATATTGTGGTCGAGTTCTAGAAAGTTCTCATTCATGTTTTATTGTAGTAAATATGGAATGTCAATTGAATTTATCATTTCTTTCTTGACTTTTTAACAAGTTAATGCTTCTGTGGTTTTTTTCTACGGAACTGTACCTAATTATTTTTTTAATTATAATAAAGGGTATTGCAGTTTATCTTATAACAATTAAATTATTAAATCATTTAATTACTAACGGCACTGTACATTGCAGGCATGTGCTACGATAATTCGTAGCCCCTTCAAAACCGTACACCCTACTAAGGTATACATTGACATTTTTTTTTGTAATATTTTGACAATTTACATTGCAAATTGTGCAATACACTTAAACTGCCAACTTCATAACGAGACAGCAATGGATGTTAAATTTGAAATATTCACGGAACGCGTAATGTAGTACCAAATTCATAGTAACGTGCGATTTCGACGCATAGTCTTTTAAATAGAGTTTGCATTTGCGTTTACATCGTCTTCTCGTTGTTTGGATGTACAATATTCTGGCTTTGGAGCATTCAACAGTACCGTGGAACGGCGTCGACTCCTTCAAAATTATGCTGTCTCGAAATTTCGTCGCATCTCACGCTGTAATTAATTTTGTTTGTGCTTTCGTTGCGAACGTTTTGTTTGTACCGTTTGATTTGTATACAGTGGTGAGATTCTTGTATTTAATTGTGATTTTAGGTCGTTGTTATTAAACTAAATATGCTTATAAATGCTTTACAACTACCAGTTAATTTCTTAATAGTGTTACTACATTCGTCATATTATTAATACCTAGCTACGTATAGTATGTAGAACTAATTTATTAGTCGTGGGTTTCTGAGACCAACATCTCCGGTTAACATATTGTCAAATCTCTGTTTTGACAGGGATGACGATAATTGTTATACAGCGGTCTTGTTTTCAGAAACCAACGGTGAGAACCTGCCTTTATTATTTTGGTAATATCAAACTTTTAAATATTACAATATTATTACCAATGAAATCATTGCGAAGCGTGCAAGCTCTTAACGGGCATGTTGGCGTCAGAATGTAATAACAGATTCCGGTATGCACATATTCCTGTATAAATAAATATTTAATCACCTTTATTCCGAGCTGTTTTGGGGGCACGATGGGGGCGAGAGGGGAGGTGAGGGAGGGGGGTGCACATCATTTTAATTAAATGGAATACGTGCCGACAAGAATACTGTAACGCGGATATGATATTGCAAACAATTATTGCTCTCGAATATTTATTGTATTTTTATAAGCGTACGAAATACTGTTTTACATCGAGTGATTTAATCATGTTAAATATGAACGAAAAGTTGTAAGATATTTATGTAGCTGTAATGCAGATGTCCGACGTTAATGAATAATATGTAAGCCTAGCTTTCCCCTGCGACTACGTCCGCACGGAATTTAACATCACATAATTGGTAGCTTATTTGTTCTTCCGGGCTATGTACTACCATCTATGCCAAATTACAGTGAGGTTCATGCAGCCTTTCTTTTGATACTTTCTAACAAACATCCATGCAAACTTTCTCATTTGTAATATAAGTAAGATTAGTAATGTGCCAAAGAAAGGAGGTATTATCAGGACCCTATAACAAAATAAATGACAGACGTGAACTTAGGATGTCTCCACTGTTGTAACGATTCTGTCAAAATAATGCCATCCT